AAAAGGAGAGTTTTTAAAAAATTTATATGCTCGAGAACATTTAAATTTTTTCTGATAAGATCATTATATAAGTGTATATATACTTCATTAGGGAAGTATATTAGCTCATACAGTACATGGACAACAAAGCTGCTAGAAGTTTGGAAATCAGTCCTTGTTTGCCTAATGTGGGACCTATTTTCCAAAATCACTGCTACCTATCTCCTAGCAACTGCTGGAAAGCCTAGCAACTGCAAGAGAATTTTTTCTCATTATTTTATGTTTTTGAATTGTCTTCATGGAGTAGATTCTTATCTGTGATTGCATAAAGAAATAAAGAGCTTTTAGAGCCTCTGGAAGTGATCTTTCTCAGCTCAGTTGTATGAAAGTGTATTATGTTTGGATAACTATATGCATCTACAATTGCTACAGTCCTTTACTGAAAACCAGAAGTACTCACGCAGCTAAAGGGAGTATTCAAAATGGACTTAAGTCTGAAGCTCCGCATGTGCAAATCCTTACAAAGAAGAGATACCAGTCTGTCCCACAGAGCGAGCCAGGCAAAATCACCGTGAGAAAGATCCCTCCTTGTTTCAGCAGCTATCAAACATCCAGGAGAACTGGGTATGTTTAACAGATGTAATATGTACACTTGTAAAAGTGGAAGAACTGAGTGAGGTAAAGAAGCCAGAAGCTACTCCCCCAAACACAGAATTTCACAGTCACAAAGAGAGCAATCTCTTCAGGTCACTGCTCAGATGCCCATATGGAAATGTGCCTAGCCAGAAAAGTGGGGTACTTTGAGAAATAAGCAAGTGTCTTCACTTAAACTTGTTCTTACCCTGAAAGTCTCAGAATTTTAGACATTTACATACCTTCCCAGGAAAAAAAAACAAAAACCAAATAAAATCTCATGAAATTTCCCAGGGGAAAAAAAAAGGAATTAGAGTGGAAAGACTATTTGTTTTCAAAATTACAGCAGAGCTAAATGAAAGCTAAAAATCAGAAAAAGTGAGTACTAAAATATAGTATTTTCTCTGTAAAGTATTTATTCAGTAGATTGAACTGAAGGAATATAAAGTGAAGATGAGCTCTCTACAGGGATAAGTGGATCCTTTGACTGAGTAAGTACTGTTTAAAAACAGAGATGAATTCTGACGGTGTTCCAAGGGCTAAAATATAGAGAGAAACTTAAAAACAGGGTTTCAGTTAATAACATACAATTTCACACAAAGAACAGATATCATGTTATGTTTTCACCTCTGTGTGCAATAAAGTAACAAGCTTCCCAGCTTTCCAGTATTTGTCCTTTCATTTCATTATAAAGCAAGGATTGTTAAATAGCTTTCCTAACTTCTTTCATTTTGTGTCATTCATACAAAATATATTCAAATTAGGGACCCCTAGTCAGAACTCTAGCTTTGGAAGGCTTCACAGGAATTTTCTAAGGGATGTATTCTACCTAACAATTCAACATTCAATAGAATGTGAATATAAAAGTGTCTCAAAGGCATCTTTATATGTTTAGTTTTTCTTGATTTTTTTTTATTAGAGACACATCTGCTTTTTAATTATCCTGATCTGATTAAATGAGACATTTTTGCATTATAGGATATATGGGAAAGGAAATGACTGACTACTTTCCCAAGTACTCCTTCAGTTTTTGAATTCAGTTTTCTTAAAAGTTACTTTCATCTCAAATGGTTCTATGTTCACTTGCAATCCTTGTTTTGAAAAACTGAATTTCTTTTATAGAGCATAATTATATATATTTAATTTCACCTAGGTATTTGTCTATATATAAAAAAAGTCAACAAAATAATGCTTGAGCCAAAAGGTTACAACAGGGTTGCCAA